AAAAAGATCACAAAAAAAAAAAAAAAAAAAAAAAAAAAAAAAAAAAAAAAAAAAAATCCACAAAAACACAAAATAACACATGCCCATATACGTGAACATACAAAATCACTAACAGAAAAAAATAAAATTTACGTAATTGTGAAGCATACATGGGAAGAACTCCAAAGCTCGAGATGAGAGGGAGAGACAAGGAGTAAGAGGCGATTGATGACTTTCAGATATATGACCCGCTGAGAAGGACCCATAACTTGTTCCAGTGGGATGACCTGTGGCCATCCATATGCCATATACATCTTCTTCTTCTTCTTCTGCTTGGTGACTTCCAATTATAATTCTACGATTTGGGTTTTTTCAGAATTACTGATTAGTTGAGATCCGAAGAACAAAATAGAGAAATTGGATCGGAAGGGCATTAGATTTTTTTGTATAAGGAGAGATCTGATTCTGAAGGCGTTTGCTCACCCATTTCAGGTGGATCTCGCATTTGCCACTGTTCCCTCACAACTTGGGACTTGGGACCTGTTTTTTTTTCATTACTTTTCCCTTTTTTTTCTCGTTTATTTTTTAGGCACTCAATTTTAATTTTAATTTTTGTAGGGTAGTTTTAATTTCATTTAAAAAAAATAAAATGTGAAAAATAAAAGATTATTGACGTCAACGTCTTCCAATCCTTTTAAGTTCATGCTCCAACGTCCCAAGAAAAAAACATTAGGCATCATATGTTAAGAAAAATTCTCTATGACCTACGCAAAATAAAGGAGAACGAAAATAATGAACCAAAAATAAAAGCAAATCACATTAAAAATTTTATATAAGTTCACTAATTTAATTACATTCTATTTCTGTCGCTGTAAATTTTATTATATTATTAAAAAAATTTAATATAAAAAATTACTTAATCATTCACTAGTATTTCTTTCACAATTAACAATATTTTTCTCAGCCTCTTTTACTCTCAATTTCCTTTGGAAATTTGTCTCCCTAAAACCCTATACTGATAGGTATTTATAGGAAACCTCAAACTAGGAGAAAGGCCCACAAAAAACCTAAAAAAAATGCACAAAACCACGATCTGTCACCGCCTTGGCGCATTCTCTTTTTCATTGCTTTTCTTCTCCACGTGATTAGGCTCCACTTCGTCTAGCATAACCCTTGCACCACCCTATTATATAGCAAAAGAGATTTATTTTTTTTTTTCTTTTCGTTTTGCAACTATTGAAAAGGTATGTCGTGTTTTAAATAATTAATCGTACTTGACGTATTTAAGAATATATTCCTAATACTTTGAGAATGTTTGTTGAAACATGACAAAAAGTATTTTGTATCCTTTTATATTTTTTAATTTATTGTCAAATTTATTTATGAAAACCTAAAATAAAATAAATAAATAAGATATGAAGCTACAAGTATTGCTATAAGACACTAGTAGTGCAAAGCACTATCCACTCATAGAAGGTGAATCCCGTAATGTGGGATCCACAGATGGATCTCACTTTTTATTAGTGATGATGCTTAAATCGGTTGTGCCTTTAAGCATTTTCCGGTACTCATCTATAATAATGTTGTTAGCACGAGGCTAAATCGAGGGTTAGGTCAGGTCGATAGGGTGAGGCAAGGATGGATAGGCAACAGGGTTGGGTGGGTGGGGTGAGGTCTAGGCACAGAGCTTATTGTAAATAAATGCGACTAGGGCAACAGGCTCCAACACCGGCTCCCGTACATGGACATTTTGAAGGAGATGGGAAAGGGAGAGGGGAATTGGTGAGTATACACATGCTATTCCAAACACAAAGCATAAAAATATATGAAAAAAAACACATACCTCGAAGACTTTTCTTCCACATACTCAGTGAGCGGGCCTTTCCCAACCCCTTGGGACTTCCTTGATGACTCAGCTTGTGCAGCATAGCTACTAGTCTTAGAAGCTGACAAACAATCATTGGCAAAAACTAATCAGGTCAATCAACAAGGTTCTAAGTTTAAGTGATGTAGGAGAAGCTACCTCTGTTTAACACTTGGTGGTATTATTATTATGAGTCTTTATGTTATGTTTCCTTGTAATAAGCCAAGCGTTGTGTCGTTGGTTTAGTCTAAATAGTTTGTCGTTTAGGGTTGTTGTTTGTAATTGATCCTAGAGTATAGCTTGCCATTTTGGATGAGTTCCTCTAGGTTAACTATCCCTCTTACGTAGGTTGTACGCAGCTATGGACATTTTCTCTGTGATTTCTATCTTGATTCTTCCTCTATTTTCTCTGTGATTTCTCTCTTAGTTAGGACGTGATCCTTTTCCAATTTTGTCACCAAATCAGTTTCTGCAGCTCACCTAGGCTTCTATGTCATTAACAAATAAACCCAAAAAAAAAAAAAAAAAAAAAAAAAAACGATTTTAACGCCGGTTCTTGGCCTCCATCCTAAACAGCTTGCTTGCTTTTTACCCTTATCTGCAATATGATATAATTCTTAAGTAAGTAAAAACTTAGTAAGTAAACTTCATTATCTCTCAAAAACATAATTTGAGTTTTCAATGAAAACGTAACATAATCATCATCGTAGTAGTACACGAGGCACACATTTATATATATATATATATATATAACATATATTTTCTTTAAATTGCCATATTAAAATATTGTTCATTTTATCTTTAGGGGCCCAAATATTACACTATTAATATCGTTGACCTGCCGTCATGAGAAGAGTGAGCTGGCTAATCACATACCAAACATGACAAGTCCACCTATCAGGACAAGCATAATACGTTCACCTTGAGGACGGTCCACCTAGTGGGAAAAACATAAACATAAGATGTGCAATGCTTAATTAAGTGATATATATATATATATATGTGTATATATATAAAGTTTCGCTTTAAAACTCGTCATAAGCCATAAAAATCATAATCATGAAAACATTCTTGTAAAATCATTATAAAAGGTCATGAAAAAAGAAAATTTTTGTTCATAAACCTTTAATCATAAACATTCCTTAACATTTTCATAAACTTTTATCATGTTGCTGATGAGAATGTATTTACTTGATTCACTAGTTTACTTGACCTTTTTGTTGTACAAGGTGACAGATGCCCCGGCTCACGACTTACTCTTTCTCTTAGGTGTTCATGTCAAATGATTCCATAATAAGAATGAAAATCAATATTCATATCGTTGAGACATTGACTCATGCATAACTCATCTTATTTCATCATTACATAGTTATAAAATTGTCATAAAACCACTTCTATTCGCATAAAATCATGATTCATAAAATCATAAAATTCTGACCCATACCCACTTAGAGAATTATAATTCAATTTACGTATATGCTTTCTAGATAAAACAGTGATTTTCTAATTTTCAAAGTCTGTGAACCAAAGTTCATAGAGCACATCATGGTCAATGAATTTTAATTGAAAATCTAAACATGATCAGAGGCTGAAATTTCATATACACATGACCAACATATCCATAATGACGTCCAAATTTTTATAGATTAAAATAATTTTATTTAACATATAAAACGAATTTTACAAATCATGTTACAAAATCTGTTAGCGTGCGTAAACCAGTGAACAGTCTCCAATCTAAAATCCATAATAATTAAAATATGCTTAAAAAATTCCGTAAAAATTACTAAACAATTAATCATATAAAAATACATGACATATCTAAAAATCGCAGTAAAATAAACTCATTTCTACCCTCTAAACCTTTTGGAAGTTGGAGATATACACAGATTCTCGAGACCTTAATCAAAATTCATTATTAAATTCTAGACAATTCGTAAAACCCTAGAATTTAGATATAATGCTAAAATCATGGAATAAAACATATTCAGAATTCAAATCCACTAAAACACACTTTTATCATATCATGGAAATCATCGATCAAACTATTCTCTCTAGGGAAATCTATAAAATTCACGTATCATTTATGAAAATCCTCAATCAATAAAACATAAAATTCATACCTTGAATTCCTTTTGAATTCCCTACATGTATTAGTAATGTTTAATTAAAGATTCTGAACTTTAATTAAATTCATTATTAACATTGTTTTGATTATTATCTATAAATATTATCCTCTCACATATAACACTTATTTACAATATTTAAGGTCACATAAATAATTATGAAATTTTCATTAATATTCATAAAATATTCAATAATATATGCACATAAAATAATGAATAAACTATTTTATTAAATAAATAATAAATATTATATTACATCTCATATTTCTAGGACATCATTCTCAACAATTCAACCCCTAAATTTTTCACGTTCCTCGTATATTTCTTCCGAATAGAATATCACCCTCGTTCCCTCTTTACCTCTCCCTCCTCTCAATTTACGTTTATGCCCTACCACCAACATTCAAAGAATTGCTAAGAGAAACTCCATCAATCTCCAATTCTGAAACCGATATTCCGCCTCTCACCCTCCTCTCTTTCACACCAGTTTAGAGAAAGTTCTCTTTGGGGATTTTACTTGCAAGCCATTTAGAATGGAATAATGTTAGCAACACTGTTAATATGGTGAGATATTGAATGAGTGTATTACGCATAATGAGATTTTGTGGAACCGGAACACATACACAATATGAATTTCTGATAATTTTCGTTAAGTATAGAAATTCTAATTGAGTCTATCGATGGTCATATATAGAATGATCTTAATCTTGAGTTATTAGCAAACTCCTATCTGTGGATTTGTGTCTTTTGATTTACTCGGTGCAGATTCTGAGATGTTGAATCCTATTCCTTGTATTTTGGATACATGACAAAGTGAGTAGCCAGGAATGTTAATACACGAGATGAAATCCATTCCTTCTTGAGAAAGAAGCATATATATACTTCTCTTGAGGATTGATTCGGTAATTGGACAAGTAGGACCTCCGATTCATGAATTTGTTTTATGAATCATTGTCTATTAGAGAATCAATTGTACTCAAGGATAAAGATGTAATTAGAGAGGTTAATAGATTTCACCTAGCTCTAATTATGAATTATTTATAGATGATTGATCTATATGTAATGGCTATATCAAATGGACACTTTACAGTTTAGAAGTAAATTATATCTATGATTACGAGGGTGCAATTCTAAGTTTATAGTGGAGTGAATTTTAGAATTAATAGAATTAATTAATTAGTTAAAGAGTTTTAATTATTTATTAATTTTATTGCAGCTCAGAATTATAGGTCCATGTGTTCCCACATCGTTCTTGTAATCCTACAAGACACTAAGTGCAAAATGAGAATTTAAGAATTATGAAATTCTAAATAGAACACTCAAGAATAATTAATTGATAATTAATTATAAATTAAATAATGTTATTATTTAAATTTGAATTTTAGAACACACATGTAGAGGAGTCCACATGGTGTACACGTCTAGCACAGTGGGAATCCCTCTGGGATTTAGTTGCTTGCTCTTTAAGTTATTCAATTGACTTATTTGATAAGTTGTCTAATTGAAATTCAAATTAAATTAAGTTTGACTTATATTGGAATTTGAATTTGAGTTAATATTGGACTGGAAGATAAAGGA